AAAAAAAAAAAAAAAATCAACTGATGTGATACATCATATCAATAGAATGAAAAACAAAAACCATATGATCATTTCAATTGATGCTGAAAAAGCATTCAAAAAATTAAATCCTTTCATGATAAAATCTCTAAAAACACTGATATGGAAGGAACTTAGCACAATAAAAGCCATTTATCACAAGCCCATAACTGGTATCATAATATGATAAATGTGGAAAAACTGAAAGCCTTTTTCTTAATATCTAGAACAAGATACTTTCACCACTGTTATTTAACATAGTACTGGAAATTCTAGCTAGAGAAATCAGCAGGAGAAAGAAATAAAGGGCATCCAAATTGGAAAGGAGGAAGTAAAATTATTTTTGTTTTTTGATGATATAATCTTATATAGAGAGAAACCTATAAACGTCACCCAGAAACCACTAGAATTGATATATAAATGTAGTAAATTGTAGGATACAAACTTATGCAAAATTCAGTAGCATTTCTATATGCCAACAGTAAACAAGCTGAAATAGAAACCAAAAATAACCCCATTTGCAATCACAACAAATACTATAAAATACCTAGTAATAAACTTAACCATCCAGAGCAAAAAGACTAAACTGGAGGAATCACATTACCCAACTTCAAATTATACTGCAGAGCTATTGTAAACCAAAGAGCATGGTACTGGTGTAGAAATAGACACATAGACCAATGGAACAGAAGAGAACCCGGAAATAAATCCACACATGCATAGTGAACTTATTTTTGACAATGAACACACAGAGAAGAAAGTATAGTCTATTCAATGAATGATGCTGGGAATACTGAATACCCAAATGGAGAAGAATGAAATAAGGCCTTTATCTTACCACATACAAAAATCAAATCAAAATTAACCATTTAATGGATTAACCATTTAATTTGATGGTTAATTTGATGGATTAATCAAATGGAAATCTAAGATCTGCAACTATGAAACTACTAAAAGAAAACATTGGTAAAACTCTTCAGGACATTGGTCTTGGCAAGGATTTCTTGAGTAGTAATACTATAGCACAGGCAACCAAGAGAAAATTAAGCAAATGGGCAAAGTATCTGAATAAACATTTCTCAAAAGAAGACCTACAGATGGCCAATAGGTATATGAAAAAATTGCTCAACATCATTAGTCATCAGAGAAATGCAAATCAAAACTATAATGAGCTATCATCTCACCCCAGATAAAATGGCTTTCATGAAAAAGGCAGGCAATAATGAATGCTGGAGAGGATGTGGGAAAGGACAGCTCTCATAAGCTATTGGTGGGAATGCACATCAGGCCAACCACTATGGAAAACAGTATGGAGGTTCCCTAAAGAACAACCGTATGACCCAGCAATCCCACTGTTGGATATATATCCAAAGGAGGGAAATTCAGTATATTGAAAAGATTATCTGCATTCCCGTATTTATTGTAGCACTATTTATAATAGCCAAGATGTGGGTTCAATCTAAGTGTCCATCAACAGATGAATGGATAAAAAATTGCAATATGTAATACACAATGGAATATCATATAGCCACAAAAAATAAAGTCCTGTCATTTGCAACCACATGGGTTGAACTGGATAACATTATGTTAAATGAAATAAACTGAGAACAGAAAGTCATGTGTTGCATAATCTCACTCATATGTGGAAACTAATTATGAAAATTAGTTGATCACATGGAAGTAGACAATAGAGTCTGGGGCGGGTCTTGAGGAGGGAGGATAAAACAGAGAGTGGGTGCAAAACATAGTTAAATATTAGAATGAACAAGAGGTGATATCACAATACAATGGCTATAAGAAAAAATATGTTGGGATGTATGTTAAAATAATCGAAAGTATAGAATTGTAATGCTCCTGATGTAAAGAAATGTTAAATGCCTAAAGTGATAGAAATTCCAATTGCCATGATTTGATTACTGCACACTGTATGCCTGTATGGAGACATCACATGCACTGATAAAAATGTACAATTAATATGTACTCATAATAATTAAAAAGAAATACATATTCAAAAAGCAAAGGACAAAAACCCTTTGCTACCTTAAAGAAAGAAAGAGAGAGAGAGATAAAGAGGAAAAAAAGACAGAAAAAGAGATAGAGATAGAAAGAAAGAGAGAGAGAGAAAGAGGAAGAATTGTTTCATTGTTGTAGGTAAAATTGGCTGAAGAATTTATGGTAATCAACATTTCCTGGGGAAATTTCAGAGAGGGTGAAAATTCAAATACAGAGGAGAAGAATCATCCTTACGTTTACCTCAAAAAGGTTAGCAGAGGATGGTCACATTTTCCATTGCATCAGGAAATAATGTTGCTAAGTTGAAATATTAAAAGATGATAAAACCGTTATTTAACCAAGAATAATCCTCCAAATCAGAGAAAGATGCAGAATAAAATATTCTGAAGATATTCACTCCCTAACTTTCAAATGCTGTTTTTGTGTTACCTACAAAAAGTTTGTTTATTGTGTTACCTGCGCCCTTCTCTTTCTTTTGAGCATTTTGTGCTGTTAGTTTCAACCAGGGAAACTCTTTTTCTGTGATTTGTCACCATCCCTTCATCAGAACATTTCCTGACAGCTGAGTCGTGTCACCAGAAAGCAAATCCATTTTCTTTTTCCCAAGGGAAAGGGACTATGGAGCTCTCCCCGTCCCTGGAGACCGCAGCTCCCAGGTCCTGCAATGTGCCTGAGATCAAGGGTGTCATCGTTTAGTTTTTGCTTCATGATATGTGTACTCAAATACTTTATTAAATGTGATTTCTTTTTCTTTTCTGTGGCAATTTAATACAAATCAGATTGGACAAATGATATTTTCTGTTGTTCCTGTGATCTGTAGTCTAATTTGTCTTTAAATATTTTATGGATCAGTATTTTACTAGTTATTTTTATTTGTTTGCTGTTTAATTTTTTCTGTTATTATTAGATGTTACACTATTATGGGTTAAATGCTAAGTACAATTGTGGTGTGTTCTTTCTTCTCACTGATCGAACATAACATTGTTTCAAGTGGGTTGTATGGAAAGCTCTGGAGAATCATACTCAAGGGACGTTAAAAATGATAGCTCACTCGCGATCCAAAGAGGGTGTGATGATATTGATAAAACTTCACAACCAATGGGAATCCTCTCTGAGTTAGTGTTGAGTGCCCCTAATGCTGGAATAATCCTGTTGGCCAGGACCCCAGAGCTGTACAGCTGAGAAGAGGGTGCAGGAAACTCTGGTGTTTACACATGTGGCTGCAACTGAGAGCAGAGCAGCCCAGCAAGCCCGAGGGTAAGACTGTTTAATAACCTTGCGGTTTTCTATTTAATTTTTATACTTTTCTGCTGGGATAGAGCATGTGTTGTTCTCGGAGCAAAGAGAAAGACAGTTGCTTTCAAAATGCAGAGAGAAACTACTGTAGGTCTGGAAGCAGACGGATTTGAAGTTTCTTTTTAAAGTGGACTTGATTTCTTCCCTTCTCTTTCCATTTTTTTTCCCACTGTGGGTGATAACTTGTCACACATTTCCTGTCTTTAAAAAACTAACTGTGTACTAAACAAAACTCAGGTAAGAATTTCGACTCTAAATTTATACCGTAATAGGATATATTGATATTAAAACCTTGTTTTGTAGCTCCAAATGAATATGCTTAGTCGTTGTGTTTGGGTTAATCTACATTTTTACAATGAAAAGAAAAGTGAAATTGTTCTGCACACCCTCCTCTGGATGCCTTATGCACTTTGGGTCCTTTCATCTTCTGAGTCATCATGAGAATTCCTGTCATTGTTATCAGGAAAGTATACTGCAAAGACAGCACTCCTGCTGACTGCTTTACAGAAGGTACCCACATTGTGTGGAGGAGATAGAGACACGAACACCCTAATAAAATTTTGTACATAATACAAAGCAAATTGATATTTAACTATATAGAATTAAATTACAAGGTTGAAAAAGAAAATCTACAAACCACTGGGGAGCATTGGCTTATGTTTTCTGCAAAGGAGAGGAAAGTTATAAAGGAGGGGAAATTATCAAATGAATGTCAAGCAGGTAAGTCTACTAAATATAAATATAAGGAAGTTATCCCTAAAGCAAAAGATATCATTAGAAATACGTAAATAATATATGACATAGAAATATATACTATTTCTTGATATTTTGTTTGTATCAATTCTAGTTTTTCTGCTTTCAAAAATCATGTGAATACATCTTTGCTAATCTTTTTGTGTGTGTATGACAAGGGGTATTATAACTTTTGAGTAAATGTTTTGTTGGTAATTCATTTTACTATCACTAAATATCCTTATAGATACTTTAAATAGTCTAGAATTCTAACTTTTTCCATATTTTCATGCAAGCATTGAGTTAGAAAGAAATATTGATGAACTAGTGATATAATATTTGTTTAAGTTTTGTGTGACTTGTTTGAATAGATTTAGAAAAATGCTTTATGAGAAGAGCTTTATTTTCCAAAAGGTTATGTATTCTTGTGAAATAACAGATCATTTTAGTGCCTGTCTTTTATATTCTTCATGTATTATTCTAGTATCCAGTAATTACCTAATCAATGGAACATACACTCTTGGACCTCACATGCGTGTGGCCTCAAAATAACTTATGAATCTTTCATATAATTACTAGAATCACAAAGATAATAACTTTAATTCTTGAAAAATAATTTCAGACTTCCTTTATTTGAAGAAGTATCATATCTCTGATTTGATTTTATGAGGTCAGCTGGATTCTTTCATAATGCCATGACCTTCAAAATTCCCTTGTTAGCGGGGATGTTAGTGCGAGGAATTCGAGAACTTCTGATAAAGAGGTTTAACCTCCTGAGCTTTCTGGAAAAATCAACAAAATTGGACAGTTGCTGAAAGAAAGAGGAATATTCTTCTTTGTAGAAGTAACTGGCATAAAGATTTGAAGCATAAATTAGCATATAACAGAATAATGGTGAGTAATTCACCTGATTGGAGCAAAAAAATACACCTTCATGAATAAGAGATGTTGGTCTCTCCAGTTAGGGCCTATTTGTGGAACATCTTAAAATTCACATGGTAATTCTGTCCTTATATATCATACAATGGGGGCAATTGCAAGTTTCTGAGAGGAGATGGAACATTTGTGCCTCTTTTCATCATGACCACCGTCACTGTCATCATTCTGCCAGCAATGACAGCATTTCCTGTGTGCTAGACGATTTACATTTATTCATATCTAAAATTGGGATAGCTGTGCAATAAAATGAACCTCATTTTACATGTTATCTTTGTTTTACACATAAAGGAATCTGAGGTTCAGAAATATTCAGTGATTTATTAAAACCACAGATGTAACAAGTGCTAGAACTACATTTTCCAACAATGTCTTTTTGCTTCCAAAGCTATTTCCAGTATGCCCCACTGGTATTTTAGGAACATGAATCTGGCAGGACTTAAACAGAATGGTTGGAAATGGGCAATGAAATAGTAGGATTCAAGGAGGAAGATGGCAATACAGAGATCAATCCCAATATTCTATAAATCCAAACTGATCAGAGTTGTATCAGTGGTCCCTTACTTCCTTTGGGGGTAGAGAAAAGATATTGATAACTCCACATAAAAAGACCTTTCTATATTTAAATTTTCTGTTCTCATATTCAACACATACTTTTCTCTCTTCTTTATTTTCTTGAAGTTTATATTCAGAAAAGACATACTTTGAGTTCTTTGATGAAATTGAACACTACTTATAAATAAGATCTGTGAGGTGACTGGAAATGATAATTGGAATACATTGGCTTTCCTTTGTTCTGTTTGATATGTGATGTTAATGAATTCTTAGTGACTGCATCCTCTTAAAACTACAGAAAGACTAAGATATTATCAAAGAAAAGCATCATACAAGTTATATTTCCATGATTGAAATGAATATGTAAAATTTGTGTTGCGACCAAGCAATGTAGAATACAAACATTCCTAGTAAGAAGAATAGACCCATTTACTAACACTTCTCATAGGTCTGACCTTTGACCACGCAATTGAACTTCCTCTTGAAGTAGAATAGGACTAGAATCTGGAACAAATTTCATTTACTTTTCTATTTTCAATGCTTTCATTTACTTCTTTTCTATTTTCAATGCTTTCAATGAAATGAAAGATCTATCTTTTATATCAATAAATTTTTCAACATGTCTCTATCTCTATCTATCATGGTGTCTATGTTATCATTTATTAACATACTAACTGGTCCTGTAGAAGGATACTATCATTTCATTACGTTTTACAGGAGGAATAGCTGAACAGATGAGTATAGATGAAATGCAAAGACTTGGTCCCTGACTTTGTAATGTTTAATTTTAATTAAACAGATATAGGCCATATGGCGTTTTGTACTGTACCTGCTCCGAGTCCTCGATGCCTCACTGTAGATGTGCAATTGTGATTTGAGTGTGAACTGAGGACCTATTGTAAAAAGGAAAACAGTATCGTTTTGGGAGAAGTTAGCTAGCAAACAAAGATGGTGTTGCTCAAGGCCTAATTGAAGTCATAACTTTGCAGGTGATTAATATTATGATATAAAATATATATGAATTGATATATATCAATTCTAGACTTATTTATATTTAATGATTTGCTGAAGAATTGCTGTTATGTGTACTAAAGACAAAAAGATATTTAGTATTGAAATTTTGACAGACATTTTTTGGGTGGCATATGACAGAGATGTCCTTAGGATTAAATAAAAAGGATTCCTTGCAGCATTTAGAAATGTAACTTATCATGGTGTCCCTTTTAAATCTGTAAAAGGAAAGTGAATTTTGTAATTCACTGACTCAGGAGAGCATGTTTTTCAGCTGCTCTAACCATTTAGAAGTAGAACACAATGTAAGATGTTTACTAAAAAGTGAAGAACCTGCAGCAAGGTTAGGTTAGTTTTTATCTGGAAATAGTTTTGAGAGCTTTTCATACACTCTTTCTTTCCCACCCTTATTCACTAAGGGTGAATTTAGGATTGAAGAAGGCATTATGTCAGAAGTTGAATTTGTGATGTCTGTGAGAGATCAAGAGGCCTTATTATCCAGTTTATATTCATGGATTTTTATCTTCTGTTTGTTCATCTTTGGATGAAATGAAAATGTGATCCTCAAATAGAGTGAGAATTTTAAGTGCTCAGTGAGATGATAACATTTGGTAGCACAGAAAAGGAGAGAAAGATAAGGAAGTACCACATAATCCATCGATGTTTCATATAATTCTGGAAGGTTCTATTTGTCATCTGTTTCTAACTAGGAGCTAGAATTATCCCAGGGGATTTCTAAGAGATTGGGTCTTTTGTGGGAATCTTCTTATGGGTAAAGTCAGTGGCAGGAATGATTTGAGTCTGAGCACCTGCTTAGAGTCACTGCCATCCTATTTTCCAATATTGTCCAGCCTTCTTCATTTGTCATTTAGTGAGAAAATTTAAGTTATAGAATTTATGATTGTGGCAGTTGAAAATACTGATTGTTGTATTTGCTTTGTGTTAGAAATGGACTCCAAAGGTGTTGATGCTATAGGCATCTCTGCATGCTTGCTTTTAAATTTTTGTAATGGAACTAAAATAAATTTGAACTGATAGTGAAGATTGATGGGAGAAATCCCAGTATTCACAGAGGTAGCAGTAGGGGAGGGGTATATTTTAGACAGAGTTTTCTGGAAAGTCAGGACCTAGGCTTTCCTGAACCCATGGCTCTCCTTCTAGAGCTTACTCAGTACCCTCACTTGAGGTAAGCTGTCTTTGTTTGCTTTGTGGCTACAGGTTGCCTTCATAGTATTAAGTAAGGTTTTTATTCAAATTAATAAAAACAATACATTCTGGCAGTGTGCATATTTATCAGAAACCACATCAGAAGTTCAAATAATACAATACAGGAGGCAGCCTCCCCCTCCCAACTTTTGAGTCTTTTGAAAACCCAGATTCTCTTGACTCCTCAAGGGGATACACATGCTTTTTACTCTTCAATCCTCCATCCATTTTCCACACTTCAAAAATATTTGTAGCCAAGTAAGTATAAATCTTTGTCTTTTGTAGATACAGACAATCACCATGACCATTGTTGTAGATTATTAAAGTACTTGGAAGAATAAAGTCCCTTATAGCAATTAAAATGGTTTGATTAGAGTTAACCTCACAGAAAATTGTTGTTAGAGCCATTTAAAGTCTATCAGCATCTAATCTTCAAGGTCATCTTCTCTAGAGGAATCTGACTTACTCAGTGGAACTTATAACAAATGCCTTTGAGAAGAAAAAAGAATAGTTTCAAGAGT